TTGTAAATGTTTTTTTAAATCTTTGTCCTGTCTCTTTTGCCTGCTGTGCCATAAATTAAGACACACACACACACATACACATTCATGTAGGTACATAAACAAAGATCACATGGAAAGTTCTGAAAAACTGTGAAGTATTAAGGAGTCAACTACCATCCATTTGATTTTATATTTGCAATTTCTTTGGAAGATGCTTTGGAAGCATTTTGTTTTTTCTCAAAATAGAAAGATCACCAGATCTGTAAACTGACATTTCCTGTAAATTTTTTGATATAGAAGAATTAATATGTCAATGCAAAGAAAAGATATTTGGAGAAAGTACCTATTTTGGTATTATGAAAAGTGTAATGTAGTTAACTACAAAAGTTGTGTGTGTGTGTGTATCTGTGTGTGTGTTCAAGAGCATTTGTAGTGTAGCCTTTTGTATATTGGTGATTATTTCTTTTAAGCTGAAGAAGAAAAATAAAAACAAAATTCAACTTGATGGCTAAGAAATATTCATGCTGAAAAACTTGGGGGGAAAAGTAGTTTCTCAATAAATATTTGATTATGAATTATATTGCATTCCTTGCAAAAAGGAAAATTGATCTTATGGAACAGTACCACCATGACAAAATTTCATCATAAGTTTCTAAAAGCCTGTCTTAATACCAACTTGGAAATTAGGAAACTCATTCTGTAGCTTAAGACTTGTTTTAGGTTTCTATTTGGCCAATGTGGAAGGAAAGCAACATCTAGAAGTAAAATATACATATTAACTTTGTTTTGTTTTGTTTTTTTACATATTAACTTTCGATCACAGAGAATACAATGGGATTTTTGGAATAACTTCGAAGATTTTTTTGTTAGCACTTTCATAATTTTATTCCTTGTCATATCATTTTCAACAAATTTTAACCTAGATAGTTTTCTAAATGTCCATATACACATAAACTACCTCAGATAAGTGGTTAGAGATACACTCCTGTAAGTTATTTAAATATTTATTTTAAGTGTTTTTTGATTATATATCATTTTTATTTATCTTTTTAAATAATGAAAACATTTTATCTTTGTGGTTGCATCATCATCAATAGTTACTCTTATTACTACAATTACCAAGACTAATATTAGCTATTATGTATTGTGTAATTGGTTTAAGTACTAAATATTTTATGTGCATTGTCTCATTGATAGTCATGCTAGGTATATGAATCAGTTATAGGACACACTACAATTAAATTTCCATTTTCAAATAAGATACTATGACTCAGGAAGTTTCTTAATGGGTCTCAGACTACTGGGCAAGTACATTGGCAGAACTTGGATTCAAATCTGGATCTGTGTGGTGCATGCCTTCCCCAACTATGGAAACAGACTATTCTAAAGGCAGAGCTGTTAAGCATTAACACAATTATTCTTGTTATATCTTATCAGTAAAAGTAGTAAATGAATTTCTAAGACACATTTTTTTATTGCTATTAAAGAATGTCCATCCATAAACTTCCCAAATGACAGGAATTCGTGGGGATTCTCATTAGATTGATTATCTGTGGTCTAGAATGCATACAGGATCCTGATATCGATTTAGATTGCAGCATACAGTTATTTCCGTGTTTCATTTCATTCTTCATTATGGTTATTATTATCACTTTAAGAGGTCATAATTTGATGAGTTAAAATTGCTTCCAGAAGCATTTTGACATGTGAGAAAATGATCATAACTTAATGTGTCCCATGGAAATACAAATAAATTCTGCTTTTAAAAATTTGGCTCTTTAGACTGGATGGTGTTTGTAAGTGATGAATCTCTAAATTCCACACCTGAAACTGATATTCCATTGTATGTTAACTTATTGGAATTTACCAAACAGAAAATTTGGCTGTTTAGGAAAACAAATATGCACATACAAACACACATAAAAACTAAGGTAACCTGGAACCCTATAGGTATGAACACTTGTTATATGCTTTCCTAAATTTAATAAAACAAAATCTTTGTTGAAAACAATTGATAGGTATATTTACAAATATGACATGATTTAAATCCTGTTTTATTTGGCAGGATCATAATACAATGACAGTAAGTACATGATCACATCTTAAGTATTCATAGAAACTTTTCATTGAAGCAAAACTCAAATGACTAGACTACTAGAAAACTTCCTGTATTTTAAACAAAATAGGCTCGGTTAAGATGAAGGGGCTGAAAACAGTAGGACTGATTGATCATTTACACTGCATGTCCATTGTGAATTGGCTGAGGCCACTGCCCTCATTCCTGGATCAAAAATTTAGGGGATGTGGCTTCCACCATCTGGAATACCAGTCCCCATGGTACTGTAGAGGGTGTTGAAGAATTGTATACTTGCACTTGAAAGTTACATGTGAATTCTGTTCTTATTCTATTGGCCACAGCAAGTCACCTGGTCTTGACTAACTCCAAGGTGTGGATAAGCAATCCTCTTACATCAGAGGAAGTGATATTATTTGTGAACAATTCTAAACAATGTTACATTCTATTTTCACCAAAACCAAAAGAAAACATTAATGACAAGAAAGATTTCATGTGAAATTGGCTAAAATGTATGTTAATACACAAATTTATATTTGAGCATAGTAATACTTAACCTAATCACCATACCACTTCTATCTTAATCAGCTTCATGGTGACCGACAACACTTCAGATCCAAGAAAAATCTCTACGTCACTTTCCTTATATCTTTGAAAGGGAGGTTGACTGTATCTAAAAGTCTTGGGATATTGTGGGTAGTGCTTCCAACAGAAACAGAAAATGTTTCAAGCTGCAGGGACCATTTGGACAGGGAATCTTTTTTTTATTCCCTTAAAATAAGTTTGAGCTATTACATTATATTTTATTTTTTCAGCCTTATTGAGGTATGATTGACAAATAAAAAATGTGTATACTTAGTAGAATCTTTTAAGTTAGAGAATTACAAATATATTAATTTGTCAAAGTTTTCCTCTCAGATAGTTATATAGCTGGCACAATTTCTCAGTCATGTGAGGTATCCATTTTCTTGCTTTCTTTATGTTTCGAGTGGTTCTGGAATATGCATTAATGTAGTACACCAAAACTGTACCTAACAACTGTAGCATGTACGGCAGTGTTACCTCATGTTACTCTTAAATTTGTCTATATAAAGCTTGAGTGTTACTTTCCTGAAAAGTAGTAACTCTTTATATTGCCAACAGTTACACTTTTATTTGTACAAAATCATTCAAAAAGATTTCATTAAATTTTCATAAGCTTAAGATGTCATTTTGATTTACATAATTTTCATTTTAAAATTGTGATATATCTCAACTAAAATTCTTTGTTGTTATACTTGCAAATATGTAAGCAGGAAAATAATTTTTTAAATATACACGTAAAAATGAATTTGGGGTTGATACAGTTGAATATTTACCATTAAAATTTTATATAAATTTATTCCAACACAATTTATTTTCTTTTTTTTTTTAATTTTTTTTCCAACGTTTATTTATTTTTGGGACAGAGAGAGACAGAGCATGAACGGGCGAGGGGCAGAGAGAGAGGGAGACACAGAATCGGAAACAGGCTCCAGGCTCCGAGCCATCAGCCCAGAGCCCGACGCGGGGTTCGAACTCACGGACCGCGAGATCGTGACCTGGCTGAAGTCGGACGCTTAACCGACTGCGCCACCCAGGCGCCCCAACACAATTTATTTTCAAATATTTATATTATTATTAAATTAACCCAAGTGTGAAAAACCTAAGTACATAATTAGTAATTTTGATTAATTAATTTTGATATATATTTTCAGTCAACAGTATTTGTTGAACTCCCAATATAGTCCAGGAATTGTTCTGAGTATTGGTATGAATATAACCAGCCTTTTCTTTTCAGGTCACCCTTTTTTTACTGTGAATTTTACTGTGGTTCTTAATTCACTCTTTTGCTAACAAAGTATTGCTTTAGTCATTGTGACACATAAAACAGATGTGGAAAAATCAATGGGGTCCTAAAAGCAAACAGTGCCTCTCAATTTAGCTACCATAGCTACCTGAAACCATCCCTATAGCACAAGATGAAAAGATCACGAAGGAAGTCAGTCTTAAATATACTTTGGTTTCCCTTAGAACACAAAGAAAAGAAACAGAAGGCTTGAAAACCCATGATTACTTTTTATGTCACCACTTCCCAATTTAGATGCATTGTTTTCTGATAGTCTAAAATGAAATAATCATAGTTATTTCAAATTGTATTTTAAAAGAAATATTCCCCAGTATATTGTATGTCTTTGGAAAGGAAAACCAGTATTGTGAAAAAATAACTACTGGTACACTCCATTTAATGCTTTACCTGCTAACCATGTAGCAGATTAACATTTTCAGAATTTTAATATTTAAATTCTATATTTGGACATCATTACAGTGAATCTAACAACACATTTCATTTGTACTAGTAGAACTTTAATAAATTGGTCCATTAAGGAGATGTTACCTTTACTACAGTAAACAAGCAGTATTAACTACCAAGGACCAATAACAATTCTGAGTGTTTTGAAGAGATTTTAAAAGTGACCTTACTTCTTAACAGAAACCAGAGCTCCTCTAGGTTTCTGAGCCAATGTTTGGGTTCCAGATTCTCTCATTTTTATTTCATTGGTCTAATTCTGAAATCTGTATATTTAATAAACATCACCATCAGTTCTGTTTCAGGTATTCTTTGGATGAAACAACACACAGTCTTAATCATTATTTCCTTCCTATACAAAGATTTTGTATAGGAAATCATTGGTCTACACATAGAGGAGAAGATGGATTTGATTAAAATATATTTTACAAATAGTTGTTTTCTTTTTTAAAAAAATTTTAATGTTTATTTTACTTTTGAGAGAGAGAGAGAGAGCACAAGCAGGGAAAGGCAGAGAGAGAGACACAGAATCTGAAGCAAGCTCTAAGTTCCGAGCTGTCAGCACAAAGCCCTTGACATGGGGCTCAAACCCATGAACTGTGACATCATGACCTGAGTTGAAGTCAGATGCTTAACCTATTGAGCCATCCAGGTGCCCCTACAAATGGTTGTGTTCTGAGGGAGATATAGTGGTAAGTTTTGTGGAAAATCCCGACTTCTTCATCTTTTTCAACATCTACCTAAATTTGTAGAGAACACTTCTAATCTCATCAAAAAAACTATTTGTTCACAGATTACAAACCATTTATCTTATACTGAGCCTCACCCGGTTTAGCTCTACAGAAAGCATTTGTGTTATGCTTTTAAAGCTTGATCACCTGAGAAAATAATGTAGTCTTGCCATAAATGTTGATGTATATCACATATTATGCATATTCAAAGCAAGTAGGTACAGAAAGGGAAAATATGGGATGATTTGTGGTCAAAGAAAGTATCATCCAAATGTTTACCTTACAGAAAGAAAGAAAGAAAGAAAGAAAGAAAGAAAGAAAGAAAGAGCGAAGCCCTTAAGCCTATTAGGAACAAAGTTTCAGTTTTGTTCACATTATAAAATCTCGTAGCATAAAGTAGTCATAGCTGGTAATTTATTCTCATTTGCATTCACTTGTGTCAACGTGGAAGTTCAAATTCTAAGCATTTACTACAAATTCATTTTAAAAATCCTGCTCATGAAACCCTGTAACATTACAGCTTCACTTCCGTTTATAATGACATTGCTCCCAGCTGAATCTGTAGACATACTAAGTGATCACATATCTATAATCCCAGACTTGTCAAAAAACTAAATTACACTATTAGGAGGTACTCGTATACAAGAGGTCATATTTATAAGTACACTTAAAAATGTTGTTTTGAAAACAAATACATAAAAGCTTAAACAGATAGAAACAATACATATAAATTAATTATGATTATTTAACTTAGCAAATATTCAGAATGGGATTGTGTAAAAGCATACACTATCTTAAAGCAATGGTTCTCAAATGTAGATTGTGTCCAAATCACCTGAACGGCTTGTTGAAACACAGATCCTGGGTCCCACCTGCACTCTCTAATTTCTTCTGTCTTGGGTGGGCCTTAAGTACTTGCATTTCTAGAAAGTTCCCAGATAAAGCTGATGCTGCTTTTATTAACTCCTTTGAGAGCCATTGCTTCAAATTGTGATTCCATCTTCAAAACTTTATTTTTATACACAACTTTACCTAGAATATTAACAATGGGAATTTGTGGACAATCTAGCACAGCATTCTAGAGGTACCCTGTAGTGATTACCTTTTAGAAATTAGGGAACCAAGGCACAAGAGTATCAAGTGACTGAGTGCATAACTCCTGGCACTTTACACTGAAAATGAATTGAAGATGTGCGGGAAGATTCATGACTTCACGTGTTTGTAACAGTGGCAAGATTTAGTAGAAGATATGAGATTCTGTGAGAAAAAAAATAATTCAGCGTACCAGAGTGACCACAGATGATTAGCAAATGCATCCTAAATTCACACAAAAAATATCACTGGAAACCAACTTCAGTTCTAGCTTCTACATGTTAAGGAGATTGGAAGCAGTCATCTCCATCTTTACTAAATAAAAGCTGAACAAACTCAGGCTTTGACAATCTTTCTCCACCCATTAGAGAACTGAAGTCGATGCAAACCACTGCCTAGGACTCTGGAGAGACAGACAGAGACCAAAAAAAAAAAAAAAAAAAAAAAAATCAGAGCTGAGATCAGCTGCTGTGGACCAACAGCCACTGAAGTCATATACTGACAGGAATACTTCAGTGATGAGGATTGTGGACTAACAAGAAAGTGAGAAATTTCTAGAGACCCCAGTCCGTCTTAGGGAGCCCTCACACTCTCATGAGTTTACTTACAGGAACCCCACCAGGTTTTCAAGGTAAAGAACCAAGAAAACTCAGAGGCACAAAGATGGAAACAGTAACCTTTGTGAAATACAGTCAGTATGTTTTCCTTAACAAAGGCCTACTCTTTATTGTAAAAGATTTTATAAGAGCCTTCTCTCACATAGACTGAGAACAATTATTCTGCCTATCATACTAACAATACCAGTTGCTGGAGAAAATTAGCTCAGTGTTGGCGGGAATGCAAAATGGCCCAGCCACTTTGGAATACAGTATGTAATTTTTTTACAAAAGTAAAGAAAGTCTTATCATAAGTCTTGTAATTATATTCCCACGTATTCACTTAAATAATTTGATATTCACACAACGCCTGTACAAGAATGTGTACGGAATCTTTACTCTTAAACACCATAATTAAAAGCAACAAGAATATTCATCAACAGGAGAATGAAGAAATACAGTGTGATATATCTATTCTACAGCATATTATTCAATGATGAAAAATATGAACTACCAAGCCATGAAGACACAGATGTACGTAAATACATATTTCAAAATGTAAAAGCCAGTCTTAAAAGTCCATGTACTGTATGAATTCCATCATATCACATTCTGAAAAGGCAAAACTATCGAGACACTAAAAAATTATGGTCGCTGGAGGCTCTGGAGAAGGGAAGGAGGGTGACGATGTGAAGCACGGGATTTCTAGGTGATGGAACTTTATTATACGATACTGGGATGGTGGATACATGATATGCACATATCAAAACCCATAGAACTTTACAAGATATGCCCTACTATGTGTCAATTTGTTAAAAATCATTTAAGAGATGGGAGATCACCGGATGGAGTGCAGAATGTGGCAAAACAAGCCAACTGTATCACAAATGCATGAAACACTTTCACTAAAGGGGATGGACGGAAAAATGCAGCCTTAGAGAAACTTTGGAAATGAGTGCACACGGTGAGATTAAAGGCAAAGGATGGCAGATAAGCATTGTACTATGGTTGAAAACACGGTTTATTGGATCCGCAGGTTAATTCTGATACTGCTGTGTGTACATCCTGGAAATGAGCAACTGAGTAATGGATGGTAGGTTGTGAGCCAGGTTTCTCACAGTTTGCAGATAAGGAAGGGGAGGAGGCTAGAACGATTCCTAGGTAATGAATTATAGGTGGAGACAGTATAAACTTACAGCTTAATAGATACATTTATACATATTTGAATATAAATTATAGTTCCGTGTATATATATATATATATGGAGTAGTGTATATTTTCTTGCTACTTAAGCTAAAAGAGCTTGGAAATATCAACACTCCAGTCGCAGTGTGGACACCAATGCACATATCTTGGTTTTGAGTACGGTTATCTAAAAAACAAAACAAAACAAAAAAGGAGTCAGAGCTTCTTGGAGAAACGTCTGATTTTAGAAATCTAGAATGGACATATGGAGCATAAAACTATACAAAATGAACTTGGAGCATCTTGCGTTGCCAGAAATAACAGAAACGTTCAAAAATAATAATAATAAAATACCTACATGCATGGGATTATATCCAGGAGCCAATTGGAACTCCCAATTGCCAAAACTGGAACAATTTAAACAATAAAGTACTCTTGGGTTATAACCCAAAGTGTAAGAATTTCATATGATATAAATAAACACTTTTTGTAAACAAATAACTGGAAAACATGATCCTCCCTTATAGGATAATTCCGTGTAATTTATGTGAATACTTCACCCCCTTTAAGTGTGAGCTGTGTGTGGTGACTCTTTTTTCAAAGAGTACAATATGGAGACATGGGAGGAAAAGGTGACTTTGCAGTAGAGTGGAGAAACCTGGCAAACACTATCCCAACCAAGTAATCAAGGTCAACATCAACAATGATAACTCATACTGATAGTATGTAATGTACCCTTGATACGATGTGAAAAAATGACACGTTAACAGCTATAGTCTTCGCCCCAATAAATCATAACCTCAGTTTGATTATGAGAAAAACATCAAAGAAATTTCAATAGAGGGAATCCTGCAAAGTCCTATAAAATCACATGCAGAAATAAATTCTGAGAAACTCACAGGCATGAAAAACCCACGGAAACATAACAAGTAAATGTAATGTTGTAGTCCGGAACAGAAAAAAGACTAGATAAAAACTAAGGAAATCTGAGTAAAGTGTGTAGCAGTACTGTATCAATATTGGTTACTAAATGCAACAAACATACCATCCTAATGTAAGATAGTGATTACAGGGAAACTCAGTGAAGGAGTATATGTGAGTTCTTTGTACCATCTTCTGATTTTGTTTGTAATTTTGAAACGACTTAAAAATAAAGTCTAGGGGAGCCTGGGTAGCTCAGCGGGTTACGTGTACAACTTCCATTCAGGTCATGATTTCACGGTTTGTGAGTTCGAGCCCCACATCAGGCTCTGTGCTGACAGCTCAGAGCCTGGAGCCTGCTTCAAATTCTGGGTGTTCCTGTGTCTCTGCCCCTCCCTGCTTGCACTCTGTCTCTCTGTCTCTCAGAAATAAATAAACATTAAAAAAATGTTTTTAAACAAAGTCTATTAAAAAAAAATGTGAAGCCTTTATTAAACAGTTACATTACATAAAAGATACATTTCCATATCTGAAAAGTCTTATTATTCATGTGATTGTTACATCAAAATCAAAATCTTACCCTTTCCCTAAACACCTGCCGTAAATGATAGCAAAATCTACACCCAGATTCTTTAATGCATCTTTAAATTCTCCTGTGTGCGGGAATGAATGGTTAATGGCTTTGCATTGTGTGTCTCTGAGTTTTAAAATCTTTTTCTCCTTCATACCCGAGTCCTCTAACCCTTTTAGAAGCAAAATTTTGTCGTTCTAATGTGACTGTAATTGCTGTATGCTACTCTACTCAGTATCCTACAGTATCGCCTCAGGGAAAGAAAGAGATAAGTGCCCTATTGAGTTTAAATAGATTTATTCTGCAGATATGCCAAACTACATTTTATTAAAAAAAAAACTGTAAAATGAATCTGAATGTGTTTCAATTGCTCCATTTTTCTGATGGTGAGACTTTTGAATGTGATTGTGTGTGTGTGTGTGTGTGTGTGTGTGTGTGTTATATGAAATATCGAGAAAAACAAATAACCTTTTGGTAAGAACTATACGCATCTGTCTCTGATTGTACTGAAAAGTTTATTTAATTAGGCAGCAGCTCTGCAATGCTTTCCCAGGAATAAATTGTGATATCCACAAGAGAAACAGCTATATGACGAT